TACTTTGTGCTCATAGCACCGTTCCACGGAGGAGAATTTTTGCAGTACATAGTGGCCAGTCATACGGACCACGGCGTTTATAAAGATTCCCACTTAATGCAAAATACAGATTTAATATACTTCAAAAATCCAAGCCCTTCCTACCGCAAATAAGTCTTATACGGAACGTCGAGATGGGTGAGAAGAGGATGCAGCATTTTTTGGGCAAACATGTCATTATTATGAACCAGTTGGTGCACACATCACCGTTCCACGGTTGACAATTTCTGCAGTAAACAGTGGCCAATCAATGTGCTCAACTAAGGTTCACACTTTATGCAAAATGCGGATTTAATATACTTCCAAAAATCAAAGACCTTGCCACCGCAAATAAGCCTTATAGTGACTTTTCAGTAAAAGTGATTGGCATGCGCATACGTCAATGTACTTTGCGAGTTCATCAACATAGTCCATCCGTTTATTTTTGGCCTTTCCGTTAGAAATTAGGGCGACAACCTTCCTTTGGCGCTGGGCATTTTGTTCTGGCAACCATCGAGTGTTGTCTGCATTGAGCATGCGACGTTGTTCGTGCGGGGGAATAATAGCCTCTGGGTGCTCGCTGGCCATGAAGAATGAGTAGATAAAGGGTACGTGCGACTCGATGCTGGTTGTCAGAAATATTTTAAACTGGAAAAGGGGTAAAGAGAATATAATAATAGAAAACCGAAAAAGTGATGATAATTATTGAAAACTCCAAATTCGGACATTGTATTTGACGAAAGCATCATACTTCTCACTGTCTACTACAAGCTGAGTGATGAAAACTTCCAAAAATACACGCTGATAAATCTGCATAGAGGTCAAGAGAAACAGAGCGGGATACTGTTGCTTATTAGCAACGACATCACGAGAGAGTGAACGTAAAATGAGGAAATTTAATAATCTGGTTATGTTAAGTACGCGCCAGAATTCGTGCAGCATGCCGACATGTGCGAAAGATTGATACCCTTTTGCTCATCGGTTTAGTTTCAGTTTATTTGGTGAGGATAATAGGCAATGCCTTTGAAAACCCTATTTAACGTGTGCAGCACCCTATAAAAATTTACCACTACTAACATAGTATCGGCAAACACCTATAAAAATTTACAACTACTAACATAGTATTGGCAAACAGTGAGTGGCATTGTTTTTTACAATATATGTCTGG